AACTAAGAACTTGGAGTACGACAAACGATCGACGGTTACAATTGGATAAAAGGGTGAGGCCGAGTAATTAGCCGTAATTAGTTGTTCCGTTCTTCTAAAACCCGACTTGTCCCCGTCTCGGCGCGGCGGCGAGGCCCTGTAAAATCTCTTTAACAGTCTGTAATCCGATTTCGAGCCGGAATAATCGAATCACGCGGACCGTTTAATCGAAAACTCGTTTAATCGACGCCTTCGATCTTATTTTCCCCGTCCTTTTATCGACTTTCATTTTCCTCTTATTGTACTTTTCACGCTTCTCCCTTATCCGGCTTGCTTTTAATAATACATTAACAATTATCCTTTTTAATTATGTTTCAAATGCATTTACCCCTGCTTCTACTTTCACAATAATCGCAAACGATATACTTAACACTCGCCTCTTTTCGTTTTATATATTCTATTAAACGTTTCCTGCTGGTTAGCACTGTTTACGATTCACTATAAATGATATCCTATACTAATTGCAGCAAGTGTAACAACGAGAAGATAGTTTTACCTTCGCCGAAGAATGTAATTTTTGCGTTCTCTTACTCAAATGCGGCGCAGTCTTCTTATTCAAATATAAACAGTCAGATGAAAAGTCTCGATTCTAGGGAATCTTTGCCAACGGGAAAAAGCTTGTTTGACTTGTCCCGTTCTCGTGTAAACATCGAATTCGTGTCTAATCAACGCCTTTAGCAAATGTCTCTGAATAAGATCCGCAATTATTTGCGGAGGTTGGTTTAAAGTTGCCCCCGTCGCGTCGAACTTGCTACTTTCATCCGTGACAGTTCCTTTGTCATCTCGCCCATCGGTCGTTACCTTAGATTGCACTATTTAACAGTTTATTCAGCGAGACAACTCGACGGCGACTTTCGTCGAAGAAAAATGGCCGGGAATCGCGCTGGGTAAGAGCGTGAAATTTGTACTTGGGGAAACGTTTTCCGGTTTCCACGGTGCTGCGAAACCGAGCGAGTTTTCCCGGTTCCGGAACTCGGCGCGATGAAAAATACCGTACGACGTACCACGGCTGCGCGAAGGGAAAATCTTCAAACATTTCTCGCGTTCTGTTTAGCGTACCAATTCTTGTTTAATTAACGGAATTCAAACCGGCGACGTCTCCCGGCGCGCGGCAAATTCAGCCGTTAGCGAATTAAATGCAAAATCTGTCGCCTGTGAAAATCGTGCAAAACTGTGCGAAATCGTGAAAATTTCATCACGATGCGAGGCGAGGCGTTCGTTTGTTCTTCACAGAATATGTCGACACCCCTTGTCCTAATTATACTGATTTATTTGTCGCTTAAAATAGAAATCGTACAATCGCGAATAAATTTGGAAAAACTACTCGTATATTTTATATGCTGTTTCAATTTGAAACAAATATTTCTCTGTTCCCAACGTTTAGACTCGGAATATGCGCGCGCGGATACCTGAGTTCTATTTTTTTTTTTTTAGAAAAAAAGAGGAGAGAGAGGGAGAGAAATCGGATCGGAGCAATAATTTGTTTGCACTCTGGCTGAAAACGTTTGCGCCATATCTTCCGGGTGTAAACGTGCCCGGAGAAAATGGACGATAATCACGTTTTATCATAAAATACACGACATCAAATATTTGTTATCATTGCTCCGCGAAGCCATATAATATTGTTTACCGTTCCAACAATAATTTTTCATAAAACCAGCCTTTACGGAGGATCTCTCGTGGCGTGCGCGCGCGCGCGCGTTTGCGGGAGAGCGAAGTGTATAGGCGGGATTGAAACAGGCGAAAATTCGGTCAATCTCTAAATGAGAACAAACGCTGATACGGAATTACGAGAGTTTACCGGAGAGACAGCGGCGTTTAAAATGGAAAAAGGCGGCCGGCGGGAAAGAGGGAAAATGAGAGATATAACGTAACAAAAGGTGGAAAACGCGCTTTTCCTGTACGTCACACGCGTTTCTTCTCGGTTTTCCGCTTTTTCCATGAGAGACGAGATACACAATCCTGTTGTCAGGTATTCTGTCACACTTTGACAAGCAGAAAAAAAAGGAGCGCGGAAAGAGAGGAAAAGGATTCTGATGCGCGTGTCTGTCTGTGTGTATTCGGAATACGTTTCAGAAAGGTAAATCTTTTTATTTCGAAACGCATAATATCATATTAAATCAACATTTTCTTTCTACGTTTCATTAAACCGAATTCAACGCCGCGCGCCACGATTGAGAACAAACTGTGGTGGCTGCGTCGACGGCTACCAACATTTCAAAGGATTCGTTAACCGTTAAATCGTTCAAAGCAAATTTGGCATGCTTGTCCACTGACAAATTAGGTAATTAGAGGAACAGGGAAACGAGGTAGCCGATCGCGAAATAACTGTTTCCTGTTTCTCATTTCTTATTACCAATACGAATTTGCACGAGACCGATCGGTATAAGATAATACGTCGCCTAAAAATTCAGGAAAACGCACAACAAAAACAAATAATCAAAAGCAATAGTAATCGTGTCTCACGATGAAAAAGGAACGTGTCGGTTTTAAAACGAAAGAAAAAAAAGGGAGTATAATTCGTATCGCGCAACAGGGGACCGTGTTTCGGTTCGTTCCGAACGTCCAATCAAAAAAAAAAAAAAAATCGGGTTCGTTTGTTTGTTTTTTTTTCTTTTCGAGATTCATTCATCTCTGGAATCGGTGGACGGAGATAGCTACAGCTGGAATTTCATTCCTCCCATAACAACCAACGATCACCGAAACGTATTTCTCTACGGAATTGGGTTCCAAGTTTTCAATTCCGTTCGGTTGAAAAAAGGATCCAGTCGTTTTTCCTGTCGCGATGGATACCATAGACGAGGAGGAATCGCTCTTAGATGTTTCCGTTCCCCAGGGAACTTTTAATATGTGCGGGAATTAAACTTTTCGCGGGTGAAATCATTTGGTACACTGTGATACAAATCTCATAAAATCTGTGTACCGTCCTCAAACGCCGTTAGCAAATCTCTTCTGGAATCTGTTCGCAAATTGCGTGCATTAAGCTCTGTTAAACTTGCCGAACAAGCCCAACGACGATTTAACGTGAAACGATTCCCCGATAATAACGTAAAAAACGATGCGGAAACATGAACGGTAAAGCGAGACGCGGTTTTTTTTTTTTTTTTCCCCGCGATAAAAGGAGAAGAAAAGAGAGCGATAAAAGGGGGTGGGAGGTAAAAAGAAGGAAAGCTTCGCGTATTTTTATAGCAATATCGTCGGCCCGTTTGTATTCCAACTGTCTATCGACGTTTTGGCCGATAGTCAAAAGCCCCGTTGGATATGGATTCGACGGGAACGGGAGGAGGCTCGAGGGCCGGTTTAGAGGGGTGGAAAATGGCACGTTGCTTCTTTTCCCTCCCCGCGAATGAAAAACAACGAGAGTACAGATATCCGTTTTCTACCGTTAAAAGCGATACATTGTCTCTCTCGTTCCCTCCTTCCCCTTACTCTTTCGTTTTTCCAGTTTTTATAACCAACATTCCACTTCCCGCTCGTCGTTTTGCGAAACTTTTTTAATTCGATCATTGCAATTTTCCTCTCCCTCTTCCCCTTCACCTTTAATCCGTTTGCGATTTATCCTTTTCTATCATTTTGTAATTGCATAGTTAATCTTGCAATCGCGACGCGGAAAGGATTTATTATAATCGCATTTGGACGCGGTGTAATGGCCTGGCCTAATTTATTAATTACATGATCCTTAACAACATTAATTCATTAAAACTCTGAAACGCTCGAAATTGTATGATTACTGAGAATGTCGCACATCCGTGGGAAACCAAAATTGTACAAAAGGTATAAAAGATAAACGTCATAATAAATAGAAAAAAAGTACTGTGTATACGAACTTTACGTCGAGCTATTTGCAAAACGAGAGGACAATTTTCCCTTTCGCTTTTTTAAACGCGATAAAAGGTTCACGCTGCGCGAAAATCCGCAGGTTGAACTACCAAAGGGAAACGTAACGCGTTCGAGGTTTTTTTAAAAAAAAAAAAAACAACAGCGGACCGTAAGTTAAAGAGACGAGCGACTGCGGAGGTGAAACCGTAGGAAGGATGAATGTGGAGGGTAGGAGGCGAATGTTCATTTACCGTATCGCTACCGGCCGCCGCGGCGCTCGGGTTAATGGACAAAAGGGTAATTTGTAATCGCTAATTACATCCAGTTAAATCTGACGCGTGTCTCGCCCCTTCCAACAGCGCTCTGCCATGCCGTTGGCCGCCGAAACGTTGCGCGACGTTATCCCTCACCGAGCTAACCCTTTCATCCCCCGGCTGGTGGTTATGATTAGTGCCACGACGATAAGTCGAGACGTTTCTGTTATCTCGCGGCAATTAGTTTCCGTGTAACGACCCGTAATTAAGACGGAGGGCTTCCAAATTTCAAATTCCAACTGCGCCGTGGTTCGTCTTAATATTTACACACGTGCGAGTCCCGATGAAAAGTAAGCGTACGGTCTTTATTTCAGCTGCTTCGTCGCTGCGCGACACGTAATTGGGGTGTAGATCCGTAACGAAATTGTAGCACCGACTCGGCACCGCGTTGGATACCGGGAAAACAGTGTAAATCGTAAATCGAATTTAGAACGGTGATCCCAAAGAGAAAAAGTAGAGACCCCTGTACTTACTCGGTTACCTCCAGTTTAAAGTGCTTAAAGATCGGGGGAAAAGAAAGTTGTGTGTCCATTTTACGAATTCGATTTCCCAGAAACTTTCGAATCGCGTTAAAGGGATACGAGGGTGTACCTTTTTAAGCTGGGAATCAATTTGTACCGCGAGGAGCTAAAAGGATGTTAGCGAGTTTTTAAACAATTTTTTATTATTTAAAGCTCTCGCAATGTTTTCGTTATTTCGATGTAGTTTATATTTTATTTTACGCACCGCGTTGTTTCGTCCATTAACGTGTCATGATATTTTGCAATTTCATTTTAGTCGTTGCTACGTGGGTGATACTAAAAACAATTTGTATTCTCGTTTTTTCAGAGTGGGAGACCTACTTCGAGGACGATACCAATTTGGATCCTTCGTTCGCTGATCCTGACGTGTTTGCTCGTCGCATCGAACGCCGCGATCTGCCCGAACGGTTGCATCTGCGACGACGACAACCTGTTCGTCTCCTGTATCGGCGCGAATTTGGACGTGATACCGATCGCTCTGAATCCGAGCATTCAGCGAATAGTTCTAAAAGAGAATCGAATAAAAATCGTGGACGCGGCCGCGTTTCAATTCTACGGCGACCTGAAGAACGTCGATCTGTCGAGCAATCATCTGTTCACGATACCGAACGGCAGCTTCGACGCTCAGAAGCAACTGGTCGAACTGCACCTGAGACACAACAAGATCTCGGCGCTTACCGAGAAAACGTTCCAGGGGCTTAAGTCGTTGACGGTTCTGAATCTACGCGACAATTACTTGGAAAGCCTGAAGAACGGATTGTTCGCGTCGTTGTCAAAGCTGGAGGAGCTGGATCTGGGCAAGAATCGAATCTCGAAGGTAGAACCCGGTGCTTTCCAGAAGCTGGGAACGCTGAGGGTGCTCCATCTGGACGACAACCAGCTGAGGACTATACCCTCCCCGGCTCTGGCTCCTCTGAACTCTTTGGCGGAGTTGCACATAGGCTGGAACGCTTTCTCTTCCATCCCCGACGACGCCTTCAAAGGTTTGGAACAATTGACGGTGTTGGATATAACCGGGGCGGGTCTGGACGACATAAACGACTTCGCTTTTCGCGGTTTGAACGCGTTGAGGACTCTGGGGCTGGACGGGAACAAACTGAGGGAAGTGCCGACGAAGCAGCTGGCTGTTTTGCCCAGACTGGAGGAACTCACGTTGGGTCAGAACTTTTTCACCACCCTGAGATCTGGAGCCTTCCAGGGGCTAACGAAGCTGAAGAAATTGGACGTGTCCGCGGCCAAACTGTTGACCACGGTTGAACGTGGAACGTTCTCGGACAATGCGAACCTGGAAACGTTGATTCTGAACAGTAACAAACGATTGACGACCATGGAAGATGGTTCCTTGGCCGGATTACCTAATTTGAGACACTTGATGTTAAGGGACAACGCGTTCACCGGGTTTTCCGAGTCGCTGATAGCCTGGAATGAACTGAAACGTTTGGACCTGAGCGAAAACCCTTTAATTTGTGATTGCGGTTTACTGTGGTTGACGGAAGTTCTCGTTCCGCGGAACTCCAGTCCGGTCCTGTGTTCCGAACCTCCGGAACTGAAGGGGAAACCCGTGAAAGGGATGACGGGGGACGAGCTGGGTTGCGCCTTTTCCGACGCCAGGAAACAAGCTTTGTTAGCGACTCTTTGCGCGACCGGTTTGGCTCTGTTGACCGGACTGGCACTGATTGTTTATTACAAATGCAGGAGAAAGGTCAGGGATGCCCTGAAAGACTACAAATGGAAGAACCGCGCGATATCGCGGAAGGAGCACGAGTACCAGAAAACGTTCTCCGACGACGAGTACATAGTTAGAACGGCGCACCATCATCATCCGCCTCACCATCATCATCAAGGCCAGACGGGGCAGCTGGCGCACTACCAGCATCAGAACTCGAATCTGCAGCAACCAAACCCGAACCTGCAGCAGCAGCATCAGCAGCAACAGCAGCAGCAACAGCAACAACAGGTCGCCATGGGCGTGAAGTCGATTCCTGTGACGGAACTGTAGCTAGAACTTCGGACGGCGAACCATAATCACGGTCATCATCATTACGGCAGTGGTGGAGTATGGTTTTTGCCCCACGGTAACCACCCTTTGGAGGGTGGTTTCGGTTCTTACGGGGATGTTCGCCGTCCGGGACTGATTCCTGTTAACTCGACGGGCAGAATCGTCGAGGAGGGTGGTAATAGCGGTGGTAGCGGCGGCAGTGGTGGTATGAAACCATTGCGGATCGAGGACGGTACCAAACAGTTGAACGTGATCGACGACAATGGCAGATACCATTACGGTGGCCATTACAACGGTTACTCGCTGCGCCGGACCGGCTCCAGGGATTTTCAGAATTCGTTGGAGAGGATGAGAAGCGATTCCAGAATGCACTGCGACTCGAGGACGCAGAACGGTGCCGATTCGAAGTTTAACGCGAGAATGCAAAACGACTCGAGCTTCGATTCCAGGACGCAAGACGGTGACTCGAAATTTGATACCAGAGGAGCGCACAGCGACGGTAGCTTCGACTCGAAGTTCGATTCCAGCAGAGTTCATGGTGACTCGAAGAGCGACTCGAGTTTTGAGTCCAGAATAGTTCACGGCGACTCGAAATTCGGTTCGAGATCGCAGAGCGTCGACTCCCGCGTGCAGACCGATTCGAAGTTCGGTTCCCGAATCCATAACAACGATTCCAGCTTGGATCTGAAAACGCCGAATCATTCTAGGACTCCGAACAACGATTCTAGTTTCAATTTACGTACGTCGTCGGCCGATTCGCGAATACCGAGCAATGACGAATCGAGCTTTGAGCTGAGGAACCAAAACGACGGCAGCTTCGATCCGAGGAGCCAGAACGAAGTCGGCCACCATAACGATCATCAGCCGCCGCCGCTGCCCTCGAGGCACGCGAACTATCCGACCCTGCCTATGAACGGTCACATAAGTCATCAGTATCACCACCATCATCATTTCGCCAGGGACAAAGAGAGATTGTCGAGGGAGAGAAGCAGGGACAGGGTGGACAAGCACAGGGAGAGACAGATGGAGATGGAGATGAGGGATGGGGTTGATATCGGCCAGATTGGGACGTATCGGGCGTAATGCGAGCCGACGGGGCTGGAATTGAAATGGAAACGCGAGCGTGAGAATCGTAAACGGAAACGGAATTCGAGAGGAAAAAGCGAAACGAGAGGAGAAATGGGCAGAAAAATTGCGAGCAGCTGTAAAAATTGTGCAAGGAACGAAAGAGAATAGAAGACTGAGTGAGCTCGAACGCAAAACGAGATTCAAAACCGTATATCCGTTTGCTCTCCCTGGACAAATTGAAACATTAGAACGGAGCGAGTCGTCGAGTCTTCGAGTCTTTAAGTGCCAGCACGAAGCGAATGAGAAAATTGTGAGGTTCGGTAGGTGATATTGGAAAATCAAAAGACTGAGTTTACGTAGAGTCAGGGGACAGGGTTTTTAAAGACGGGTTCTTAACGAAATTGGACGGCGACGGTGAACGAGAAACAATGAAACGTTGAAAGGATCGGGTTAATAAAAATCGGGATAAAGGAAAGAATCTATACATATAGCGAACCATGGCTAATCAAGACTGAGCTTGGACATTCGTGCGGGGAGAAGGGAGTTGAGGGATCGTTCTAATTCGATTATTATTTAAAAGAAAAACATGCTTAGGAACTTTTGTGCAAGATGAAAATGAAGGGGAGTGCGAATAGAAGACGTTAGGTACGTTTCGAGTCGAACTGTGAGGATCGTGGAAATTGCATAAGAGTAAAATCGTGATCGAATATAGAAGACTGAGTTCGACGATAGAACGAAGGACTATTAGCGACGGTGCACGAGGTGACTGTGTTCGTAAAGGAAAATAAAAGACAGTAGGTAACGAAATCAGTAACAGGATAGAGTGTGAGTAACGAGTGAATTGAATCTTGAAAACTTTATCGATCGTATCGTTTCTCGATGGAGACGAACTGTTGAAAAAAAGTTGTAAAAATCGAATACCGATACGACTATTATTGATAATATTCAATAAGTTCGATAACCTTCTGCGAATAAGTAATAATAATAAAAAAAGGGGGGGAATTAATAGAGCGACTGAATCGGTGTGAAAATTAATGAAACGGAGCGCGGATACACCGGGATAAATAAAATCGTGATGGAATTGAATCGGGAGTTACATAAATCAAATTGAAGACTGATTACGATGGAACTCGGTATACACGTTAACAAAATACCTAAAACGCGTGTATCGCGAACGGTGATTAACCGATACACGTGTACATTCCCACTGTCTATCAACCAGTGTTCGCTCAAATCCGTGTTTCAAACACTACCAATGATTTTAGACATTTTTTTATAAGATCTTAAAGTTTTAATATCAAACTTTGTGTTCAAATTCCCCGTGTAACATTTCCAACAGAAAATTAGTATTAATTGGAATTAATTATTGCAAATAGGAGAAGGTAAAAAATTATTTTAACGCTCGACGAAACTGTTGAAACAAAAGCGTATCGATACCCGCATTCTACGTACATAAAATAAAACACTTACGATTAGGTACTTACCTTTAGGATGATAAAATCGAAGTCTAAAGAAAAGGCTATAGGTATACGATCAAAACTAATGTTATTCAAGTGCGCATTGCCTTTCGTTTAAGAAATTTAAGTGTTCAATACATTTCTTATAAGATTCGCGAACGGTGGCATTGCGGCAGATTATCTAAGGACAAGCAAATATACTAGGATGGATTCATAAAATTTAATTTGAAACGAAGTCGATGCCAAGACATTCGCACAAATTGTTTAAAAATATAAGGAAGACAGTTCCAATGCCAAAATTGTTGGCCCCTCGCGTCCCGAGGCAGATCAGACTCGAAGTAAGTCTAAGTAGTTCGGGTCTCCCGAGGACCGCCGGACGACGCGTAAGTAGTGCGAGCCAGCCATTAGTCGGACATCCTAGAGACAAATACTATTAAGCGCAAAATTGATCATTTTCTTCCACTCGCGGTTTTTGGATTTCGTTCAAAATTGAATATTCATTATATTTACGGGCCGAGTTTAAGTGATCGCTTCGTTGAATTTAAACGAAACAAAAAATTACCGGAAGATTAACTGTGACAAATTGAGGGGCGTAAAGGGCTGAACGATACTACCTATATTTATGCCGGTCATTCTTCTTTTGTAATTTTTTACAATAATTATACAGCTGTACGTATACTACTTACATTATTTGAACAGAAATCTGTTTTATACCGTTTGTCACGATTTGTAAATTGAAGTAATTCGTTTCTACGTTCGATCTCGAACGTGCGTTGACAAAATCACGAGAAGATGTTGACGTCGATTTCTATGTCGGTGTCAGAAAAGCATTAACGAGAAATCTGTGTACAGAGTGGTACACGGAGTAGAGAAAGAGAGGAAACCGTTGGAAACGTGTTCGAAACTTATATCCTATACGATTCTAATTCGACGTTCGAATTAAAATTCGAATAATTAATTTACGATTAGCGAGTAAGTCACCACTAGATATACGATATCAGATATTATTTTTTAAGCGAGGTAACTCCGCTTGTTTGGACGCAGTGGTAATGTAAAAAACTTCGTTGACACGTTCTTAACAACACGAAGGTTGAGAAGATCACCTAATTTTTATCGGATTCGTGACTGGATCATCGAAGAGGTATTGGGAAAAGAGTTAACCCATTGACTGGCAAATGTATTTTTTGTTTCCCCTAAAAGGAATGCATCAAATAAGATAATGAACGAGGCAACAGTTTTTTCTATCCCCAGTCAAAAGAAAGAGCGATCAAAAGAAAACCGTTCGTCAAACAATTTAATTGAAAGAGGGGAACCATAATGAATCACATATTTCTTTACTCTCTGAACGATTGCCGGTTAACGGGTTGCTTATAGTGTAATTAACCGATTGTAATTAAATAAAGAAATTAACTGTGTAAATTATGGATACTCTGTCAAATCTGAGCGAAGAAAGAGAATATCGCTTTGTTATTAACAAAGAAATTGTATATTTTACAATATGTGACTATGTCTCGTACTAGAAAGAAAGAATAATGGAATAATTAAACGATTAAGCGATACAAGTAACTAATTAGGCTAGTCAGTCGTCAGGCATATAAGAAAAAGAAAAAACCGATTTCGATTAATTAAACTGTGGATTTTTTATGCTAAATTCNTTTAAGACATTATATTAATTTTTAAATTTAGTATTAATAATTTATTATTGACATCGTTAATTATTATAATGTACATCCGGGTATGTTAATTATTAACTCCTTTATCATTTGTAAGGTGAATTTTTCTCCTTTACCTTTCCTTATCGTTTAAAATAAATGCCGTACTTCTTTTACAAGAAAGTTTCCTATAAATTCTTGCCATAATTAATCATAAAAATCTACAGTCTAGTTAATGACAAACGCAGTCTAAACGATAACACTTCGACGAAATTATAAAATAGAAGTCGAGTAAATGATTAATCGAGGAAGATCGCAATGTTAAGTAATTAAATTAATTGTACAAAATTAGGGAAAAAAGAAAAAAACGGAACGCCGATAGTTTTTAAGGCCTATCGTTTACCTAACTTTTAAGGAGATCTAATTATATTATTCTATACGTTTTTATTAGGCCGTTTCGTAAGAATAAATAATGCAAGTATCCTGTTCTTAATTCGAGCATACATGATAAATAAGTCCAATTCCTTTACTCTTTAATTTGCTGTTAACACGCTCGTTACAAGCTCGCTCTTAAACGATTTCTTTATTATTTATTTAAATTGTTTTGTCATGATTTTATAAACTGTACAATTCTTTAATATAGACCATGTTTACAATTGGTTTCGCAAACTACTTGCGTTATTTATTCATGAGATATGCCTAATATATCGTACAGACGTATCAACTCGCCTAAATAATCGTTAGGAGATATAAACCCGTCTCATTCTATGCACAAAAAACACGATTCTTGTTCCTTCTTTGCCTTAAAAGAAAACAGTTGGAGCTCTAAAGTTGCTCTGCAATTTTCGAAGCCAGCTAATTTTTGTTGATACAAAATTAAACATGATCGAGATGATCGAGGAAAACGATTGCTATTCGGAGTCGGAAATATAAGTCTTTCATTATTAATAATTTAATTTTGCTAACATATATCCTATTTAGGAAAAAGGAACTCCAACAAATTTTTTTTTAATGCAAATAACGGCTGACCTTCGATGTTCAATCTCAATTCTTCGAACACAACTCTGAATCTCAATCTTTTCCATGATTTGAGACAGGAAAAACGAAAAGGAAGAAAAGGATTCGCAAGGCTTCACAAACGTTAGCCTCTGTTTAATAAAAATGAAAATAAACGAAAACACCGGCATTTACAAAAAGAAAAGGTGATGATTATCGGAAGAAGCGGAACTCGATTAATTAAATAAATGAAAAAGAGAAAATCCTAAAAAGGAAAATCGTTCCAAAGACGAACGAACTCGGTATGTTATAGTAGATCGGAGGATCAGTCGATTTTGTTTAAACAAAAGACGATCGAGAGAACACGCAATTTTTAAACAAAAATTGTAAATTGTAAAGCGTATAGCGAAGCCTTATTAACAAAGCAATATATTATTGAAACAAAAAAAAGCACCCTTAAAAAAACAAACTGCTTAAAAAAAGTATTTTCCAATGCTGCTAATTCTACTCGAATATAATAATTATAATTCCTATACTAACTGTAACTTCTCCCAGAACTTATCGAATCTATTATAAATAACTGTATAAATAAACAAATTGATCACGGTTTTCCTTTGACTTCTTCGTCGTCGAATTTTTTTCGGCGAATGCGATGTAAATAAATTATGATTAAAGAAAAGCGCAGAACTTAACGGAAGGAGTCGAAGGAAATGCGGGACGTGATAGGTAAAAAGAACGAACGCTGTTTTAGCGTTGATGGAATAAACAAACGAGGCTCGTTTTTAGCGAGCCACCCGGGCCATAACCGTAGGTCACTAAAATATTAATTAATTAATTATAACTGATAGGGATATTCCAGTTATTTTGTACATAAACAATCTTTATCAACGGATTATCGAAATAAGTATAATTACAAAAAATAAATCTATATACAAAAAGATAAGAGGATCTTTTGTCACCCTACAAGATTTTATCTGTTTGCCCGATTGTTTTATCAAATAAACTTGTGTTCAAATAAATTGCTCCACGCTTCTTCCTACATTCATAAATTATTCGGTACGACATTCCTGTTTCAAGCGTTCTGCGTTTCAAAATCTTCCACCGCTTGAAAATCATAAATGAAAATTTGTACGAGGATCGAAGTGAAATACAACCTGGATACCAAGATAACAAAGAAGAAAAAAAATTTATTTATCCACAAAAAATTTAATCGTACAATTACACATTAAATAAGGGATTATACAATATTCATTTTCATCGTCTTATGTACAAAAGCCATAATTATTCGTTACTAATACGTGCTTAGAGTTTTGGTACAACCAAGGAAATAACTGTTTATACACAAGCAAATAAAGTAAAGAAAATCAGCGACTACATCGAACACACGGAATGCCCTCGTTTCGTTAAACGGAATCTCGATTGAAAACTCGTATTCATTTTTATAATAGGAACACATACGATGAAATTTAATGATGCACGACTACTACTTTGTGTCCTCCTGAAGGGAGGCGGTAGTTTCGTGAAGTAGAAAAATGAACTCGACATTCTATGTAAATTCACGAATCGCGCACTCAGTTTTTTTGTTCAATTTATTCGCGAGTATCGATCTGATTTTTGTTCCTTATCAAAATCCTTTGGACGCGCCTCTCGATTAACAAATTACACATAGACTGCAACTATTTTTTTCAGAATAGTCGCAAGCTGTTTTACGTTTCCATTTTTCTTTTATTTTCAAACTGAGGGTTTAATTTCTTTTTACCATCGCGAGGCTCAGTCCTAGAATACTTGCGATACCGATAATCACGCCTCCTGCGATCGCCATACCGTAAAGACCCTCTGTAAAAAAAAAAAATATAAACATAGCCCTTCCTAATTGTCTGGAAAAATATTTTCGATCTCTCGTTGGCGAGTGACGAGGAGGGAAAGAGAAGATAGCTTCAAGAGAAATGAAACGAGACGTGCTAGCAGAGAAAATCGTGTAGCGGGCATTAAAAAGAGCGTATTTAGAAGAACTATCGTTTATTAAACATGTAAAATTGGTACAGAGAGAAAGGATAGTAGAAAGCTAGCTAAGGAGATCGAAATGGTACTTGATAATGAGCAATGAGATTATCTATCGTAAGATCTGTTTCCAGAGATACCCGTTGTTATAATACTATAAAACAACGCGCGCGAAACGCGTATTATTATTATTAAGGAATGTACACCGTATGTACAGGTACGTTTTGTATTTCTTTCGAAAATGTGAAATCACGAAGAAAGTTATGCAGACTTTCGGGATCAATTTAAAATACTTTGTTCAAAGGCACGATTTGTACGGAAATTAAGATCGATATCAGAAGCATCTCAATCGAACGGAATGTAGTAACTCCCGACCCAAGAGAATATAGCGATGAAGAAGAATAATAGAAAATAAAACGATCTAATACTACTACAAGCCAATTGTGGAAGCCAAGAACTGGAATAGACAATGATTTTAATTTGCTTAAACCAATAGTGATCGATAAAAAGAAAACCTTTTTCCATTTTTTTCTTGATGAGCATCTCCAGGTGTTGTACTTGGTCATTTCCAGGCTCGACCTGTAGGAATGATCGTACGTACGCTAAGGCCTTAGTGTATTCCTAGAAAAGACAACAATAAACGATACTTGATTAACGTTTCGATTTTTTTACAAACATACAAGTAAGAGCTTCGTAAGTAAGTATTCACCTTTATTCTAGCATTCCCAATAGCTAGGTAGTATAGACAGTCTCTCTTTTCGCTGTCGCTGTGATTACAATACAGATCTTCTAACAGCATTATTCCTTTCCTAATATCCGCTGGATATTTGCTTCTGACCAAACACCAGGCATATTCGAATTGAGCCTTTTGTGTCACGTGAGCCGAACGTAATTGCTCGTTGTAAATACGTTCGAATTTCTGTGAACATGCGTAAGTGAAACACGCATTTTTGTTAGGCGATCTTACGCAATGGTTAACGAATGAATCATACTGCGATGTAGATAACTACGATTCAAACAATATCGTCATTCCTTTTCTCGTACATTTCTGACTATCATTATTTCGAACCATGTTAATGATTTAAACGACAAAGCGGATTGTTACAAGATTGTTTAAAGAATCGTAGTTTAAAACGAAAACAGATTGAAATCTGATAAAAAGAACTGAGTAAAAGCGACATAACCTCCTGATATCTTTTCAAGCCTTAACCTCGATAATGAAAGACGAAACTTTCTTGTCCAAGACAAGTTACATGTTATTCGAACGATACTCTACACGTGATTTACAAATTTCGTTAGAAATAAATATTCAAATAATCGAAAGAATGAATTACGTTTTAGTAGATAAGAGCTGGACGTACCTTTAAATCGTCAGAAGAAACAACCTCCTCGAGAACGTCCTCCATTTCCACTTTAAATTAGAAAATCCAGATAGTAAACGAAGAAAAGTAATTTGTCGTCCGGCTTTGCACGCGTTAAAGCATCACAAAAACTATGACAAAAATAATATCTCTGGCAGTACGAGCGGTCCGACCGTCTGAACTGTCAAAGCAATGGTAAGAGCCAACAGGAACAAGCTATATACTAGACTGGGTGTGCTAACAAAATATGACTAATCTGTTGGTTATCGATTTTTGTTACTGGACTTTGACATTCGACGAAGATATTCCGCTGAACGTGTCCCAACGTACATTTGAAGCGTTAGACATTAATTTTGTAATACTTCGTAACGAGATAGATTAGGCAATTTATTTCCAAACGTGCTTTTTTATTGACACACCCCTTGTGTCTATACTTGATTCACTGTTCGATGTATCAAACGCCGGTACCGGTGTCGATGATGGCATTTTGTGATTTTGAATGATTTTACGTGTGAATGTAAGGATAATCATCATTTTTAGTAAAAGAATCTTCATTGAAGATTATGTGTCCTCACATTCTTAAAAGCGCTACTTCGTTTAATAGTAAGTGCACAAATTAGCATCGGAATGTATTGAACAGGTCTTGGAGTAAAGCTTGACTTTTATTACAAAATAACTTATATACAATCTACGAACTCGTGATTACATGCATTCAATCGCTACCAAACATTTCATTTAACTTTTTTACGGTCTTGTACAGTGGCATTCCCATAACTGTATAAAAATCACCATCTATTCTTTCAATCAAACAACCACCCAGACCTTGTGCACCGTATCCACCAGCTTTATCTCTAAATGAAACAGAACAATAATATATTACTGTCTATATTTATTACTATGTAGAAAGATTGTTAGAGTGCACTTACAGTGGTTCCTTTGTTTTTATATAAGTCCATATCTGTTCCTCGGATATATCACCAAATTTAACTTTAGTCAATTCATAGAAGTTCACTTCCTTGTTTGGTGTCTTCAAACAAACCCCAGTGTACACAATGTGTTCTCTGTTAGCTAAACTAACATCGATTCAATTTAATATTAGTATAATGCCCATTTAAAACCTGATTCGTAGGTCAGTTTGTATCTGGAAGATATGATCTTACCTTGATAACATCTCAAAAGCATGAGACTCATTCTTAGGTTTGCCATAAATAATATTTCCCATTGTGACCATGGTATCTGCTCCTATTATTAAATTAGGTCGTGCAGTATCTTCCTTGGATAATCTATCGTACACTTCTTGGACTTTGTATTTGGCTATATCCTGCACATACTCCCCTGAGTTTTTATACAGAGACCTATCTAAATTTTCATCGTACAACGAAGGGACCACCTCTATGTTCAACCCCTGTGCAAACAATCTCTTATTATAGCTGAAATTTATTGTAAATTTATACAGCTTTGAATGTTTAAAGTACAGCAGTTCTAAATCTAAACGGTATGCGTTAATGTTTATATTTAAACTTTAACTTTCACAGTTTGCTTTGAAGCCAGTGAAACCAGTATTTGAAATAGCATTATACTAGCTATAAAATATCGTCATTTCTTTCTGCAAAACTCGTTTCTCGAATAGGTTAATTGGATTGCTTTAAAGAAAAGAGCGTTCCTTACTGATATAAGGAATAATCATTTTTCTTTACCAATTTTTTAAGTATTTCCAATCGCCTCGGAGAACCACTGGCCAAAACAATCCTTGTCGTTGCCAAAGTTTGCATTGTTGGCTCCAACATTACGTAGATTCTACTTCTAATATAATTACTGTAACTAAAATGTAAGATTCTACAATCAATAGTTAATGGTTTTCATATATAATTCGTGCTAACATTAATTTATAGTTTAATTTAGAATAAGAAAATAAGTATTATCGTTGTTACATTCTTCTACCGGAGAATGCGAAGCGGAGAGATATCTGTATTTGTATGTACTCATTATACATATGCACCTATATATATCCAGATGTCGCTGAGCAGTGTACATTGTCGTTTTTACATAAATTGTTCATTTACGTAATTTGCTCATTCAGCCTGAATATTATTTGTTTAATATATATAACGATTAATTTGTAAAATAATATAAATAAACGAGCATCGCGAGCGGACCCGACAGCTGCGGCTACGTATTACATATATACAGTTAGCGTGTAATCGAAATTAAATATTACCACCGGTGTCATGTAACCAGTCGAATTTAATAATGAATCGAGAATGCAAGAGAGAGAGAGAGAAAGAAAGAGAATAAATTGTGCGATAACTCGCATGGCGTTCATTAACGCACGTTATGAAATTCATATAAATACTTTAAGTTACAAGTTTCTGTTGTCACTTGTTACAAGTGAAACGGAGCTCGTGTACTTACCTTCGATTTGCGAATTCCTCAAACACGTTGCGCAATGTGAATTTTTAGGATTTTTGGCGGATTATTTGGTTAAGAGAAAGCATATGCGTGATATCTCAAATTGCGAAATCAGAATAATTAGATAAGAACAGTATTTATCGATGCAATTTCTTACAATCTCGTGGCATACTCGTCTTCGTCAAATGGTTCTATCCGTTGTATTAATAGCGGAATTTTCGGTTTTTCACGAGTCGTATGATTCATATTCACTCGTGCACGACGAAGCCGACGGTCGACGCGTGTGCTTTGATTGATTAGAAAAATGTTAGAACAGGATAACTCTATTTTCGCGTATATACATGTACGTACGTGTACATGGGTGTATGTATAGGAGGATGATTCTAATGCATCGGTACATAATCGGTAAATTACGTAAATGCCGCATGCCATGAAAACGAACCTCCGTAAAGGTCAGTGAGTCCGTGGCGTCTTACATAATTCCGCAAGGCGAAAGGTTGACCCATCTTCTTTAACCGTCGCCTCACTTTAATACAATCCGTACGTATGATTTTTTTTTTATTACTGATACCTACATACATACCCGGCATTGTTCACCGTCGGTGCAATGATCTCCGACCGCCGCCGCGCGCCAGACCTCGTTTATAATCGATCGGTCTTACAATTTTATCGCACTCGTTCTTGTAACGACGCGTTACGTCTTTAATTCCGTCCGACTGGCTTCGTCTAAGGAACATTTTATTTATCTGATTGTCCAATTTACCGATCGGCCGATTTCTGGGAAAGACCGCGTGCGCAATCGTTCTGGGGATCATTAAATTCGTGCGAGGAGAGTAAAATCTTGTTAATCCCTCCAGCGTTTGACGTATAAATATAAATAATTATTGCGCAATGAACACGAATGCGGTGCAACATCCTCGTTAAGTAGTCAAGAGTAATTACTCAACGCGTTTGGTCACTCTTTGATGTATCATTTTTACACGCGCACGGAGTACAGAGCAGTTGACCTATACACGAGTAATTTCACTTATTAGCTAATGTTCACTGCTCTCAGCGCATCGCGACACTGGCCATTTCTTTAAATCTCTCATTTTCGACGTTACGTTTCGTTTACTTAGAAATCTTTTTATGAAACCGTCTGAACTCTACAAGAGTGAACAATGTAATTCTCGTACCTATCCATTGGACAATTCCTTTTGATTCGTACTTTGCATCCTTTCAAATTCTTCTTTTTCGAAATCGCGTTGAGAATTACGTTTTCACGTAAGATTCCGTAAGAAATGAACGAGGAGACAATGGCATCACCCACGTTTATCTTGTCTTGCCGACGCTCGTCTAATAACTAGTTTTTAATATGCAGCCTCGTCATACGCTCTTTGATTATGTAGATCTTGTAAAAGATAAGCCGAAGCGTTGTTTCTCGTGAAATCATCAACTAGAATTCCTGGTTAATTTGCATTTTTCGAGTCTCAACGAACGTCACGATATTAAATCTTAATTTTCCCTTATCAAGTTGATCAGAATTCAAGTTACAAACGATTCCGCGAAGAAGCTGTGACTACGCGAGAATAATTAACAGCCGCGATTCGGCAGCTGGGAGTTCAGAGGAGAGAAAAATTTGGAGACTCGAACGCGCGTAAGGAGCGACCCTCTCGTTTCTCACCTATAAATCTTTCGCTCGGAGTCGCCCAGCCTTTCTCGTCGGGATTCCACGGCCATTTAACGACATTTACTCTCTGTCATTCATGCCACGCGGTAAACGTAAACCGTACCTCACCCACGCGCTCCCACAAACTAAGGGGGGAAAAAAGCTCGCGGTTAATTAAATAATTGATGCAACAAGCCCCACTGATATATTTGATTACAGGAGACGAGTTATCACGACAGAGAAGAAGAACGAGAAATAATATAAAAAATAATACATCGTTTAACGAGCTTAGCTCGGTCGATGGATGACCAAATCGGGCTGCGTCGAGTTGCCTTTCTTAATTCTATTGGAAATCTAAAGAAAATGCAGGTGCAACCTTGAACATCGTTCCAGCAGGCAATCTTCAAAGGCAGATGGATAGACCGCATAATTCTACGATTTCTCGTTACGTGATAATTCTAGTCTAATCACTTTACGATTAACCGTAAGACGAATCTAATTCTCTCGAAGGCGCGACGTAACGGATTTTTACTGACCTTTCGCTTCCCTTTTCCTCCTTCAGCGTTCGTCTCGATGAATGCCAATCTATAAGATCGAACAGGAACGTCGACGAAATGAAACTAAAAAGCTTGAGGCTCGTCTTCTGTCCCCGCGATAAGTTTAAAAATAAGAAGAGAGCGTCTCTAACCAGAGTTTATCGTCCTGGGGCGCGCGGTTAAAAATCGTCCGTAAAATGTTTAATAATCGCGAGAGGTAGGCGCGAGGAGTAATCGCGTGGCGGCTCGTTATTAAATACGATTACGCAACGCGAGAAGCCGTTCTAAAGGACACCGTAGATGGCAATTATGACACTGTGAATATGGCAACAAGTTTTCCATCAAGCTAGGCGACGGGACGCGATGCGACGCGTCATGCCCTCGGGATTAGCATTAGAGCCATCGTAATCGCCCATCAGGGGCGTATTTCATCCCGGAACACACCTCCGTGTCCTTTTCCTTTCTTTTTTTCCTCTCGTCGTCGTTGTACCCGGACGTTTTATCAGAAAATTCAACCGTAGCTTTCTCTGTAAATTTCACGGCGCGAGTACAAATTACTTAGCCGAGCACTAGAACGTAAGAGACATTTCCTAATTAACGTTTTAGCGCTCAAGCTGAAAGGTATGAAGGCAAACAGAATAAAACGTTGATAACTGAATTTTTATTATGCCGTCGTGGACGTCGGATTAATTAACGCAATTATTGAAAGCAAATAACTCGTAACGCTTGATTAATTTCAATTTTATCCATCGCGTGACGCAATTCTATGAACGCGGTTCTAACAAAGACGGTAGGCAGGGAAGTAGGAAGATAATAAGCTTGCCAGGCATCTGGCAAGGTTCTACCGGATATTTGCGCCAGGAATTTTTTCAACTTGAACGAAACGAGCGACGGTGCGACGACAAAGGGGATGCAGTGTCTAGGTCACGTACTTACACGTGGCACCGCGTTTCATGCAATTAGAAGCGCAGGAAATTGTTTCCTTTGCGCGGAACGCGTGGACGCGAGGCGTTTGTCAACGTTTTCCTTACGCAGTACGGGTATCCAATCAATTTGCTTTTGTCGTATTCCAAATTCTGATGAACGTAGTTTTAGTTTCTCAGGAAAATTAAATAATAAAATAAAATGATTGTGAATTTAAGTGTAATTAATTTGTATAATTTTTATTTAGAATTTTGTACAATGATTTTAATTGCAATTATTATTTTTAAACAAGTTTTTAGGGATACGAGACTTAATCTGAATGTAGTTAGTGTATTTAAATAAATACCACCCTATCGTCTCAATCACCCTTTTAGGCACAATTGAAGTTCCCTAATTTTCTCAGCAAAGTAAAAATAAAAATGAATGTCAAAGGGTATCGTACTTCCTCGCAATTAAAATTTAAACATGTATTCCTTATTAGTCAGAAAAATCGTTAGTTGGTGGATTCGGACAATTTTTTTTTGTCGAAGTCCCGCATTTTTCCTATTGCTGATGATGATGACGATGATGAAGCACGCCCAGTGGTCAGAGGGATATAGACGAGAAGAAGAAGACGAAGAAGAAGATTCGTATTGTGAATAAGAAAAGAAGAAGAGGGCAGGGATGACCCCTTTCACCGGCGACTTCTGCCCGGCGTGTATATAAAGGAGGCGAACCGATACCGAGATGAAGCTACAAGAACAAGTAACATCATCCGTGCATCGTCTAACTATCAATCGGACCCTGTCAGTGAGAGATTATGTTCACTATCAAGGTAGGTAGAGGACTGCGACTCGCAAAGACGGGACTGCTAAAGTAAGAGGTTGGGACAGAAACGAGACGTGGTGATAGTGAGTTACTTGTGCCTCAGAGATTTTACATTTTCATTTATTAACAAAATTTGCCTGCTTAACTGTTTGCATCATGTCGCGTTTGTAAAATTCTACACATCTCACGCTATTGCTTCCTCATATTTTATATGAATTTTCATGTCGAGTCTTTTTCATTTCACATCACCTGTGCATTTCTTCCGATCGTTTGTGCTCGACGTTCGTATCTGAAAAAGTCGAATTCATCACCGGCGAAAAAGAGCTTGTAAAAAAAATTGTTTGACGCCGTGATAAAATATCGTTTTATTTAAATAACAGATGATACATAGACGGGCATGGGTGTACATAAAAAATTGTAATAGAAATACACCGATGGTATTCTGTTTCGTTTGACTAACATTGTCCCCATTGAAATTTGATAGGAACGTTGTAGTAAATATAAATTTTCAACGTGTCGGTGCACGTTTCTGCGTCTGCCTGTGCCGCGGCAAACATTTTCAATAAATTGTTTGAAGTTTGAACACGCCAAACATTGGCTGTTGGTGGCGACCGCGTTCCGCTTACTCGATCCCGTTCGAAATAAACGAGCTTTTTCCACGTTGGCAATGATCGGGAAAAAGCATTCCACAGAATTTTTATATTTTCATTAGAAGCGTAGGTACCGGTAACTGTGACTCGAATTGAAAATGCGGGGACACAGCGGTGCATTTTGAATCGCGAATTTAGATAATATTTGTACGGTTTGTTCGTGGAAGCTGTTAAGGTTGAACGAATACTTATATAAAGACAATGACAAAGCAATGAAATTTTAACAGTCACTAGATATTACATTAATAAAATACTGTACAAAATTATAGAAATTTTGCGAGCCTATTAGAAAAGTTATTACATTTTGAATTCTAATGTCGAATGACAGAATTTTGATTTCATTTATAAAGAAATATGATTGCAACAATGACAGAATTTTGTAATTTTGTATAATTCTTTAATACATGATTTAAGGATATCTTAAAGTTGAAATAATGTCAATTTCGAGGATATATAAAAAGTATGCAAAAGTAAGAATTTAGTAAGAGAGTTACAAGTCACGTACAGTTTAATCAAAAGTACCAAAACTATGCATTAGAATATTAGAAAATATGCGTTAAAAATTCCTTATGACCAAACAGTTCGAACAATTTTATAAACCTCGCTCTTCTGTAATTTTTTTCTAAAAGATCATTACTTCAAATATTAGCCACAGCTTTTTATTACATACCTTAAACTTTTGGCAGAGATCTTACGGCTCATACAATTCGCTTTAATGTTCGCGAAACGTGGGCGCCGAGCACGTCGGTTGCATCAGGCTAATTTTATTTTTAAAAGCATTTACTCGTGCTCGGAAGGTTTTATTACGCGTACACTTAGTTGTGTCGTTTGCGATGACACGCCAGACAGAATACGACCTTTCTCTTTCTATTTCATATCGCGAAGCTACGTCTTCGTCGCGAGCACGCTCACGATAGTTAGTTTCTTTATTAGCACAATTCGAGAGACGTTTTAACACTTCTTTTGCTCGCTATCTTCCAGACGCACTACGCGTTTCACCGCTAATCAGTTGCTAAAATTGTAGCTAAGTTCGAGTTACGTGTTAACAGTAATTAAAGCTGACGCGTTCAAAGAATTCAAGAAACTGTTTTACTTTTGCGATACAATGAAATTCTATTTAATTAAGAACGTGTATTGGAATAGACCAAAGGACTGTTCCAATTGCATTAGAGTTCTAATTAAAATGTGTCGTTGAACTGAATAGAGACGAACGGAATTCGCAGAGGGGAAACGCGTGAAATTAAGAATAGAATCAATTATCATGACAATTAGCGATTGCGTAAAGATGCGACACCATTTTCTCGCCTGTCGAAGAATCGTCGATGACACCAGCGAATACTTTTGTTAATAGCGTTAAACTGGGCCGTTTGGCAAGTTGAATAATCGAGTCGGACAAAGAGAGATACGTCTAAAAAGAACTGCATGGCCAATTTCCATAAGACAACGAGTTTCATTGAAATCTCAATGATTCAAGTCTCTCGTTTAGCGAGATCGAGTCGCGCGTTCGTATAAGAAAATCGAGGTTGGAATGAAAAATCTTCAGACTGTCGCATACCTTGTTCTATCCTCGAGCAGGCGTGTCAGATTTCCTTCCTCGTTCTCTTTTTTTCCTATAATAGATCGGCCTTCCATTGTCCGTTTACGCGGTTCCATTGTAGGAAGCGGATCAGTTGTTCGAGCTCGGTCATACGGTCAAGGAAAATCGAAATGTGCGCAGATTCCATTGTGTTACCGAAACGAAATCTTACCTATCGCAACGTCCATTCATTCCGCTCGTGATCATCGCATCGAACGTCGGATCAGTAATTAGAGACTCGTTGCGACACGGGAGCAGTGCGATTTAACAATTAGCTTTCTAATGTTTCTTTCGGGGACGATAAAAGATTATTTTGATTATGACTTACGTTTTTTCACAACGATAAATCGAAATGACTAAGTCGGCATGGAATGTCGTAGAATGATCTTCGAAACTAGTATTCGAACTTCTCCGTTTTAATTAACTTTAATTAGGCACACCCTTGGCCGTTCGTGACTGATAAACCGGCGATAGCGGTTAGGTAGCTCGCCCTAACATTTACCAAACCTTTTACCATTTAGGGTTGGGACATTCGTAGAATTCATGAAAGCAGCAGTCATGACTTGGCGTGGCTCGGCTCGGCATTGTGCAAAGGGCAATGCAAAGATGATAGCGCGCCTAGAAAACATCACGACGACGGCGTTGTAGCGAAGCCGCGCCGGCGGTCGCGTTGTTACGTCAGTTTGCAAATGACATTATGAAATACGGCGTAATGGCGGAACGAAAGTACTTACCTGGTAGAACGTGTAATGTAACGTAATGATAGACGACCGTGGAACGTGTAATTTCGTTCGAGAGCCATCCGTCGGGTCCTACGACGTCGTGTCGTTACCGAGAAAAATGATCCCTGCTACCAAATGTCAAACCGATTCGGTCGAATATCCGAAAACGTGTATCTATCGATTTTACGATACAAATTAAATAGCAGAGGCTTTTCGTAACGTAACTAAGTTAATTAGTTTCCGCGTTTTCTGTCACCGTCGCTGTTACACTCGACCTCTTAATTGTTTGCGATAAAAAATTCTTCGAATTTGATGTTCACATCTGATTAATTTTACATCGATAAAGGATCGTCTGAAATAATTGTGTCCAGGTGCTCGTGGCGGTCGTGCTCTGTACGACAGGGACACTCTCAGCCCCCCAACGACCATCGAGCGGCGCCGACAAGGATGCTGTGATCACATCACAACAGCTCGAAGTTAACTTCGACGGGAACTACATCAATAAGTAAGAGACAGAACAGATTATAGCAACTAGATACAAGAAGACGCGCGATCTAAGAAACTTTTATGGATTCGTTTAATAATTGAATTTGAAAAGACGAGCATATCGCGTTTTTTTTATATACGATATGGAGCTTTATCGAGCGATGGATGATAGTGCATCGAGAAATCGTTTTTGTAACATCGTTTAAGCTTCGAGACGAGCAATGGGATTTCGCACCAGGAAAGCGGCCAGCCGAAACAAGTGGACAATGAGACGCCAGTAGTGTCGCAGGGGTCCGATTCGTACACGGCGCCCGATGGCCAACAGGTGAGCATCACATACGTCGCGGACGAGAACGGGTTCCAAGTCCAGGGCTCGCACATCCCCACGGCGCCGCCTATACCTCCGGAGATTCAAAGGGCGCTCGAATGGAACGCGGCGCACCCGGAAGAGGACGACGGCGGTCAGCCCAGACCACCCCCTGGCAGAGGTACTTCTCTCGTCGTGTAACTAATCTCGGAATGAAAACGAACGGTGGACGTATATTTGTCGTTTTCAGGTAAATGAGCCACTCGCACCTCGAACGTGACCTGATTTACCCGAGCCAGCTTGCCATGGACAGAAACCGACCCTGAACCTCCGATCAACCATAAAAATGAATAAACGAATAAACACAAATAATAGCGTGGTATATTAATCTAAATAGACTCTTCGTTACAGATAACTATAAATGAAAAAAAAAAAATACACTGTTAGGCCGCGAGCCAGCCGGTATAATAATAACAATAATCGTTTTATACTCGTAATTGCATAAAATACGGAAAGAAAAATGGTAGCGCCGTTTAAACAATTTCATGCGCTCACGCTGTCTTCAAAAAGGAAAAATGAAAACTCAAAAAAAAAAAAAAAAAACACGAGTGAAGGGTTACGCCGACCGCGTGGACGCGCGTCGAGCGTCGATAGTACATTATTATTATAATTATTATTATTATTATATTACTATGCGTACTTACTATTTTAACTTGTGATTCTTTTGTATATAAATAAATAAAAACGTATTGCCGAACACCCCCGTTTCTTGATTTCTTTCTCTCCCAATTTTTTCAACTAACTACAATTAAATTGTGTGATTAACAAAACTGTCCTTAATTACATTACGTCAAGCTAGTAAAGTTTAAACAAGCAGTGAACGAAACGCGGTTTCCAACAAAGCCCGTAGCGTGTCTGAGTAATCGTCGACTCGTACTACTTAACGACGGTTTAAAGCCCACAGTGGGGCCACCAATGAGGTTCTACTAAAGTGTGGCAGTGTCATTGTAATCATTGGGACAGCGAATAGGGCCCAGTGGAACTCGAAACACAGTCGGCAAATGCACGTTTCAGTGGAATTAGAAGGAAATTGATAAGACCTATCTTGTATCTGACAACTAGAATTACAATTTTTATCTGAAACATTCCTTGGACGAAAAAAATGTATTTTGAAATAAACAATTTTATTTATTAATTAATTATTGACGCTAGCGAAAAATATTTCAGACAAAAGTTGTAGCTCTAGTTGTCAGCTACAAATAAGGTCGTATATAATAATCCCATGAGTATAGCAGCTTAGAAGTATTTGAGGAAACACGAAAATTTCAAAGAATCTAAAGTAGTTGAAATCTCAGAAAAATAAATTCCATTTTTACAATTTTGAGAAATGCTTTAAATAAAAGTTGTAGGTACTGCTATTACCTGTCAAAAAGATTGTATACAACCTTTTTCCATCTCGAATACTTCAAGCCTAATCGATTAATCAGTTTTTTGTACAATATAAAGTCTCTTTAGTAATCCCTTCTCTGTGGTAGAGCTATACAATACGTATGACACAGCAGAGCTTCAAAAATGATTAAATTCTGATTGACAAATGAATTGGAAAGGATTTGGGCAATTTTTATTTGAAACATATGATTCTTGACAAAATTACCAATGCTAGGAATTTAAGAGTCTGTCATTCCATTAGATAAACCGAATTTCCGTGTCTATCCTGTACAAGTAGTATAGAGTGCTAACTTCAAGCAAGCTTAACTTTCCCGTCCAACCTCTATTTATTCTTTGAGCCACAATTCTGCAGTTTGCGCAAATCTGCATCTAAATCGAATCGAACATAAATAAATAGCTGCAGATTGGATTTACTCTTCGCGAACAGTAGTTTGACGTACATTACAGAATCGTGCAAACGTAAACCTGGCTCGTTACGTCTTCTGCATTTAATTCCATTAAATATAAATAAAAAAGATGGATAAATATGAAACTCGGAGATCTCTTCAATTGCAACATTTATTTATATCGTTTATTGCAATCATATGCTTGGTAATTGTTATCTACATAAATGGTCGTTCCGATACGAGTACAGCATAATAATTAATATAGATGTACAAAACACAATATATATATATATATATATAATAAATATTTACAACAGATTGAACCAGAGTAAGTACGCGTTTCGTTATATAGTAGTATCTGTAATGCGTACACCAGGAAATATTTTATTTGAAAAACAATTTTTATTACGCAAACACGGTTCAGCCACTCGAAAGCAGTTCCAACTATCTCTGGTTGCTACCTCAAAACAGTTTCCAAGCTGTTTCGATTTTATATAAAAACTGTTTTTAAATAAACTACTCCCGGGTTTATAGCAATAATTAGAGCGAGAGGCGACGACGGGGGCGATTAATCGTTAATTACTTGTTCGTCGCGCGGCATTAACTATAAAATCGATCAAAAATTCCACGCTCAATTTTTACTCTTATAACATCGAACGTTCAATTTAATTCAGGAAAATCCAATAACGTTTTATACGTATACAACGTGGTGTACAATTTGTGCGAGTCATGCTCGGTTTATTACTCTGTTCGGCGACGGAATTTCTCGATGCGTTGTTACAGTTAAAGCGCGCGCCGTTGAAACAAAAATCGAACTCGCTGAGATCACATTCGACAGACAAATCCTGATAAAAGAGTAGCTTTTACACTTGATTCTGATCCTCCTTGCTCGGGTGAGCGGCTATCCATTCGAGGGCCTTCTGAATGAGAGGCGGAATCTCGGGGGTGGTCGGCAGATGAGCACCCTGCGGCTGGAAACCGTTCTCGTTCGCCACGTAGGTCAAAGAGATCTCTTGGCCGCCGTCGCTGGGATAGCTGAAACTGCCCTTTGCGTTCATCGCCTCCTCCTCCTTCCCAGCGTTCTCCACGTGACCTTCCTCCTCGGCTTTGATCCCGTTACCCGACTCGTAGTTCCACTTGTAGGAACCGTCCGGGTTCGGGCCTTCCTGGCTTTGGCTGACTATGGGTATCACTTGGTCCCCGGGTTTCTGGGGAGCAGCCGACGCCCAGCTGACCAGTGAAATCAGGAGTATCTGCGGGTCAAGCGTGACAAATGATTATACGAAGCGTCGTACTAACGTTTAAGAGTCTCGAACGATTTCTTCGTTTCTGTAAATCGTCTGGACCGTAAATCGTTGGTCGTTAATTCGACGTTCAGCCGTTTAATTAACCGTTATTTCTCGTTGGCGAAGGGTCGACTGTAACGGGAACGGGTCGACCGCCGCGGCAGATTACGCGATTAACTCAGAAGTAGAATTCGAAGTTTGCCGACATCGTTGACTCGACATCGTTATTTATTCATCATATGTGGGCACGCGTGTCCACGTCGAGTGGTAGAGCAAACACAGTTCGCAATTCCCTCGACGGAAGACGAAAACGTTGCGTTCAAAGTCGAGGGCCGTCACTCGTACCGTGCACGGTGATTACGTGATTGTGTTTGAACGACGATAAATTACGTCGTAGGAAGGAAGATCGATTTCCGCGTGTAATTGCGTGCTCGTATCGCCGCGCGGCCTGCCGTGCCAATTTAAATGGCACAACGATCCGCGCCTATCTATCGATCCGATCGAAAGATTCGCGCGATGTACAGCGCCGTTTAAATTCAATCGCGAGCGCCGATTCATCGAAAGCGAGAGGGAAAGCGACACGGCCAGTGATGTATGTATGTACGGTATAGTAGGCCGAGATCGGACCCGAGTGGTAATCCAAGTAGACGATTATTAAATAAGTCAGACGTGACTCTCGACGTCATCAGTTCTCCTTCACCGTTTTTATTCTAGCAAAGCTAATTCGCAATTGGATAACGATTTAATCGAAGAATTTCAAACGATCGGATATCTAAGTAATTTAGTAATTACAATCGTATACACACTTGGCTGCAATAACATTTTTTACGAGTCGCGAAATTGTTCGTCTCGCGAATCTATAAACAAGATTTTTAATCCATATCCGAACAACCGGGACGATTTTAAAGAAAACCACAATTGTTGGAATAGAACACAATTGACGATTAAACCACGCACAGTAACTTGCAGATCGCACTGAGATCACTTGTGATTCGAACCCCTCGCGAGAGTTCATCCCCGGATCCGAGCTCGTCTCATCGAGACTTACACGAATTTATCTCCGTCAGACTTCGCCCGCTCTTTTATCATCCCTCATCGTTTCCGACCTCTCGTTTCTCCACGATCCGATTCGTTCGCACCCCCGGTTCTCGTTTCGAGTTTCACCACGGTTTCGGGCAGCGTTCCCTCGACTCTTTCCTCTCTCGAACCGATGTTTAATTGCGCTTACCAGTGTCGTGTACATGGTGCGGCGTTAATCGTCGATGTAAGCCTAGCGTTTATCAAGCCCCGCAGCGCTCGGCGTATATATACCCCCGGAGGCATCACCAACACCGATTCGGTGTACTCTCGTGTTTGGCAAGGTATTGCCGGTGTCGTATAGTTGGCCATCTAAGTTGGACGCATATGGGACCTGGTGATACGGGTACACGACAGAGAGAGAAAGACAAAGAGCGGGGATGTTGCAGGCACGGTGGTACACGAAGACGCGACGGTGGTTACACGGGAGAAGATGACGGGGTTAAGAGGGAGAGAGACGAGACGATGGCGACGCGACGAAGGATAAAGGGGAAACGATCGGTAGCGCATTGTACGAAGACGGTGAAACGCGTATGAAAGAATAGTAAGAAAGCAGGAACGACGTTGAGACCGAGAGACGAAGATAGCGAAGCAGAGACGGAACGACACGCAGACACGAGGATCTCGAGTGCGCGTGGAACACATGAAGGTGACACGTATTCGAAGTTGAACGGAGAGGAAACGCATAGAGCCGGTGATGCATAAGTAAAACAGGCGCGGACAGAGATGGAACGACGGCCATACAACGAAACCGGTGACACACAAAGTCAGCTGCGCGCGGTGGCGGTTCGAAGGGGGGTTACGCGGATCCTCGTAACTAACGCTCGGCAGATGCGCCAGGATTTCTATGTTCGTGTACGGGCTGTTCGTGAACGTGCATGCGGGGAAACGTATGGGAATATTGTATATCACCTTCGTCGGCTACCTTCCCGGAGGGATCACTGGTGTCACGTTGTTGCTAAATGTCATCGGGTTAAGTTAAGAGCGATTCTCTTACTCAACTGTCATCGTTTTCTTTAACGAGGCGACAACGCGACGCGCGACGCTCCGCGCCAAATCCTGCCTAGGGTATATCTGGACGCGCTCGTTAACCAAATTCTGACCCGAAACGGTGAATAGCCTTCAGCCGCTGGCTAAAACGTTTCACCGCCATTCATCGACAATTGGCTCGATGCATATTGCATCGATTGTTTGAACTCGACTATATCGTGGATTTAAATATAATCCAATCGCATCGTGAATTTGATTAACCGTATGGCATATTTATAAACTAATTTCGTCGCATTGCGACTTTGTAACATTGAAAACGAATACAGACTGGTAACGGTTGATTAAAGGTGAGGGGTCGAAGTAAACGGTAGTGAGATGATTTATAGACGGCGGATGTTCATGCGTACGTGCGCGTATAATTAGACTGGTATAAAACGGATGGACGAATAAAACTGTAATGGAAATGTGGACGTTCTACCGTTAGAAGGTTACACTTTCGATTTTGCCTTTATTTATCGGCTGGACGCACCGCATCGGAGAACCCTCTCCATTCTAATTTTACGGGATTAAGCGGCTGTCATATAAGTTAAACATCGATGATAAATGAAACAACGTGTACACCGTACCGGAGGGATTACGAGAAAAGGAAACGTGCGGGCAATAAATTCTCGTTTTCCTCAGGAATGTCAACTGCCCGGTTCCCCAGAGTCACTTACCAGTGATTCACTGTAACGCGTCATCGATATATCCATGAGAACGATTCTTCTCGCGACGCAACGCGCTTCTGTTTCAATTTAGCAAAGTGTAGAACCGATATAAAGTTATTTGAAAAACAGCCGGACGATCGAGAAACGAGATAAATTTACCAGGTCGCCTTAAATCTGCGAAACGATCGTAAATCTCTATGGCGTCACGCTAATTGACGCGTTAACTCGGAGAACAAATAGTCGAATCTTCGGGTTCAACAGATGCTATTATTACGAGGGAAAGTTTGCCGGCGCATTGTGCGTTTGCGCTTTTAATTAACGATATTATGCAACGCCGCGATGGACGCAACGCGAAATAAATAGATAACGCGAACGTGTATCGAGGTAGCTGAGAATCGTACAGGCGACAATTCAATAGTAGATCGATCTGCGACTGTACGATCGCTCCGACTTCTCTGTATTTTTAATATATAATTTAGAACGTAGCAAAGTTCGAACTCGACGACGCGACGCGAAGAGATATAACGATCCGTAGGGGATCGTTTTAATTGGCGATTAAACGCGTACTTGTTATTCCGCTCTACGTTTTTCATTCTCTCGTTTTTTATGCGCCTCTTGCAAAAATTCGGATTGATACTCCGAGCATCCGTCATTTTATTACATATTAAGGCTCTAATAATTGCAATTAAGGATTCGTCATTTTATCGATGCTTACGTAAAATCAATGATCTCGACGATTTTTACAAACTGAGAATCGGCTGGTCACTTCTTTCGTGTGTTCGTTTTCTATTATGCGGTAAAACAGTCTCCCTGTCCGACTTCAGGAAATTCCATCGGGTGAAATTCGCACAAATATTTGCGAACGATGGATTAAAATGAAAATTTCAGAGACGAACCGTGTGTACTTACATGGTTAAAGGTTACAGGTTCTCGCTTGCATACGCGAACGTGCAACGCTTCAATGACGCAACGCCTTCAAGCATTATTCTTGTCATACAAACGATACTGTCTTATCACGTTATACAGAATAGTTACGTAATTTTCCATTCTTCAGTTTTTTCTTATCAAATAGAATTTATAGTAGAGTAGTCCGTAGCTCAACTTATATGTTCTACTTTTGCCCCGCGATACAGGATATTACATAGCTTTCCCCGTTCGATCGTCCTTTAAACCGCAGATTCCACATTTCATTCTTCCAGCCTCACCGCGTCGATACGGTGTGGGTTATTTCATTCAAGCGCACATTCCGCGAGATGCGCAGCGCTAACCTTTTCCGCTCTCGAAGTGTAAGTCTCGCTTGCACAGGCGAATACTTGCGTACAATACTTACGATATTGCGACAACCGCGGGGCACTTATAAGGACATATGGAAATCGCCGCGGAATCAGCCTTGCACAAATATTTTCGATTATATCATTATTATTTCAAACATCCTTTCTCTGTATTACTACTCTTCATACTTTCTCCGCGAGACGTTCGTTTCATAAATTTCAAGAATAGCCGAACGCTCGCCACGAAAATAAACATCGTTGGCCATTTTCTAAGTGACTGCAAATAGAAATTGATATCCGCTTCCTCGACGATTTTCTCATTCTCATTTATTTTTATCAACATTTTCTCGTAGTTCTCGGCGCATAATACGCGTTTGCGGTCGAAAGAATAATATGGAAGAGCTAACATAATAAAGTACACCGGAGATATTCCAAGTCTAGCGCGTCAGCTGCATCGCGCGAATGAAAGTGAAATTGATTTTAGGTGAGCCGGGTTGCGTCTTCCAGCCCGCGGCGAAACAGTTCTCATCTTCTATTAGAATGTGTTGCCGCTTATATGTCAAGGTCGCCTTCTGCCATAACTTCTGTCGCCGTTTTTTTTTTTTTTTTTATTCTCATCCTTTTTCATGGCGCGACGTATGAACGTGGCCAGCTCATTATCCCGGGAATCCGTTAGATCACGAACAGCCATCGATCATACGCTTTCCCTGTTAAACGCCTCCGGCGATATTTACCAGTTATTGATTAAAACCCATTTGTAAACTCGCGAAGAATATGGAAGCAATCCTTCGACTTCATTTTCGTTACACTTTGTTCGTGCTTCGAAGTTACGAACGTGCCTACGTGTTCGAAATAATTTCACCCTTTCACTCTACCGACTCGTATCGCGATTCCAGATATTAAACAAAATGTATCGTGCACTCGTTCTTTTCCACGAGCAGATTCCACGTTGTTCGTGACGAGGAAGCGAAGAAGAGTATCAAAGGGACTTTCTCCCGCGATCAAACGGAGCAATTAGATCCCGATGCTCCACATCATAGTTAACTGTTGCACGATTCTCGTTTGACGCGCGACCTCCGAGACCTAAGCAGGAATGATCGAGGATTCCGATATGATTATACGAGATACATTGTAGGACGTGCAAGGCAAAGTAGTACTACATAAACTTGACTAACGAAAACGCTACAGGCGGTTGTGGAAAATCTTTTAAATTCCATGTAAACGACGTAATTAACTATAATGGCAGAATCGATCGATTAGTATTCGCTTTAATCCGCGGCGGTGTTGTTTAAATTTAAATAGAGAGAACGAATGCATTAATTCCAAGGACGATTCTTTATACTTTATGCAATCGTTTCTTCTTCCTCCTTTATTTTCGTATCGCTTGCGTTCGAATTACCATTTCTATTTGCTAAATGCGTACAGCTACCCGAAATGGTTTCCGACATTCTTGGCATGCGCATATGTAAAAATTAAATGTTCATTATGCAGCTTAAGTGCTATGAATATTTCTCGTCTGTTCAACATTGATCGATAGTTGAATTTCTTGTACTTTGAACTAACTGAGATAAACTGCAACGTAGTATATTTTTAACTATAATTTTAATTCGTATTTTAGTTAATTCACGTTTATATCATTGGGTCATTCTATTTATCAGGATTTTAAATCTGTATTGTTAATTCAGAGTTCAAGATATTTAAGTGAAGCATGAGGATTTAAAATAGGTTTATGTACGTTTCACGCGGTAAATAAATTAAATTCAATCGGATAAGCTTAAAACGTGTCGAGCTATAAATACGATATTTAATTTTGAAACAGTTAGAAATCTAATATTTAAATTTAAAGTTATTTTTAAATTTGTATACAAATATATATTTAATTGTGAAATAGTATAATTATTAGCAATAAATTATTAGCGATTACAAGCGAGAGATATTCATAACATTTAGCATTTATAATGAGTTTTGCATGTGTGCGTGTTAAGTGGGTCAGGAATCGTTTTAGGTAGATCTTCGTCTTTCCGCGGGATTCGCTTTGTGCGATAACTAAGATTTGTTTCATCAGCGTCTCCTCGATCGTTTCTAAATCGTCGAATCAGATGTGTGACGTAACAGGTGTTAATCGGTTGTTAAACAGAAGCGCAATTTATTATTCGCTTGCGCAATAGGCCATTGTTGTTCCACGATCGATTATCTACGTACGTATGCGCGTATTACTAAATCTTTATGTAACACCTGCGAATTTCTTGTGTCACGATCCTCTTTCTATTTTCTCTGCTCGCGTGGAAAGCAGACGAGTATTTTCTGATTCGAGAAAAAGGATCGTTCGCTGAAACAACAAACGAGGAGAAGGCAGGAACTGGCTGAGATACAAACACATTTTCTAAGAATTAATCCATGTTTTATCTTAACCAAAGAAATATTTGTACAAACGTGGCAAAACAATTTTGTCGATCAATAATATACGATCGATTTGCTTATAAAAACCGTCGATGCATCATCAGTATAATACAAGAATGTCTTCGCCATTTGAATGGCGATTCGATTAGAAATATTCACTGTTAACGTTATAATTTTGATAAGAAAATTGTGTACACGTTGTCACGATCAGTTCCAGTTTCACTTCCTTATCGAGTTTCCTCGGAGACGACACACTTATCGGCGTTGATTGTCCTGCTCGGGATGAGCAGCGATGTACTCCAAAGCTTTCAAGATCCCCTCGGGAATCGGGTGCGGAGTGGGGAGGTGATCACCCTTGGGTTGAAATCCGTTCTCGTCGGCGATGTAGCTGAGCCCGACGGGCGCTCCGTCCGCGTCCGAGTAGCTGTACGAACCCTCAACAACCACCACGGAATTCGTCGCGTTCAATTGCTTCACTTGCCCGTGCTGCTCAGCTTTGATCCCGTCGCCGGTCTCGTAACTGTATACGTAAGATCCATCGGGGTTCGGACCGTCGGCCGTGTACGCGAGTATGGGCACCGGGCTGGTGTACTCCGCGGGGGCGGCAAACGTGTACGCCCACAGGCAACAAAAGGCAAAGATCTGAAATAGAAAGTTTTCTGTTAAATCAAATTAATATAATTAAATTAATCTTAATGAATGTTCGTCTTCGAAAAATTCGAATGATAAAGTGTGATGCGATTTCATTGAGCATGTATTCTGCTAAACTTGTGTTAAGCTACTTTTACTAAAATCAATAAATATTAGCTTATTATTTTAGATAATTTTATTATCGTTCTGTATAAGAGAAAGTCGATGAGAATCATCATTTGAAACGAATCCCAGGTATAGTCTTGTTATTCAGACCTCAACAATAGTTAAAAAATGACAAATGATTTCTAGCGGACTCACCAAAGCGTGGTTCATCTTGACTTGAGGTTCGTCTTCGTTTCGACGACTTCTGATTGTAACAAGCCTGGGCTAATGGACCGTTTATATATCCGAGCCGAAACCTTGTCAAGAGGCCCGGGACCTTCTCTCTCTTCATTGATAGATTTCTTCGCCGCACCGATGACTTAGGACCCGCTTGCGTGCGAGCCTTACGAAATTCTTCTTTCTTTTTTCTCTCTCTCTCTCTCTCTCTATATGTCGTTTTTTTTGCTTTTGGACTCCGTCGATTCATCCTCGGTAAATTTTAGCCAAGCATCGCAGTGCTAGAGTTCGACTCTTCCTCGACGCTTGGCGACCGCGGGGCGCTTCTTGGAAACGATAAATAAATTCGCGTTGGTGTTCGTTACGTGAGTACAATTTAAATTGTTAATTTAACAAAACGTTGCGGCAGACCGACTTTCCAAATGTGATTTCATCGTGAAAATTTGACGACTCGCGACGATCGTCGTATTCGCTTCGAGATGCTCGCGTCTCTCTCTTGTTACTCGGCAACAGAGGTTTCGCATAAATTCGTCGAAGACCGAAGAAATAAAAGGTCAACCGAAAACTGAGGTTTCATTCAGGATTCTTTCATTGACCCGGTACTCCGTTTGCGAGGGTTTTTCGTTTACAAATTCAGCCGTGTAACGAATCTCCCAGAACCTTGACCACGGAAACATGGAACGAATACATAATTTGTCCCATTAGTATGCGCGTATCCGCATCCTGCCTCAGGGGACTGCCAAATTTTCTTCCCGCCGCTTGCACTCGAGCGAATGCATATCGTAATTTGGTAATAAATCTCGCTTTTTAAAAAAGTGCAGACAGAAAAAGAATCGACGAAATTATCCATCCGCGTAATAAATGCGTAAACACGGCCCGAGCCGTAACCCCGGGGCTATAGTAAATTCCACCTCCTTCCTCTTCTTTATCGCCTTTTTTCTCTAAGGTTAAAAATGAAAGTTTATTATACATCCCAGTAATCGCGAGAAGCGCGAGTGGACTTTTGGACGCATTGACAATTTCGCAATAGGTCAATCCTCCTTAAATCATCGATTCCGAATTCCTCGGTTTCGATTCAACTGCACGGATTTAGATTTGATTGATGGGTTTTAGTAATACGCTGTGGGATTTCGAAAAGTACGCGTGTGCATTTATTTCAATAGTTAATCCCTTAGAGACTTAGAATTTAGGCAGTACCTTGGATGAAGATTAGAATCGATTTATAAATTCTGCTGTCACGATTTGAATATTACAAAATTGAGAGTGAAACGTGTAAATGGATTAGAAGAGGATTAAGGTTGTATGAACCCTTACATAAAAACAATGACGAATCATTGAAATTTTAACAGTTACTAAATAT